AACCCCACCGTCCTCGCATAATTCGGCAGCGAAAACAACAAAACCACATACCCCAGCATGGACAAGAACCCAAACGCCAACAACCCCACAAATTGCATCTTGCGAAAAAGCCGATGATCAAATCCAATCTGCCGACTCCCAATCGCCTTATTCCGATCACGAATCAATAACGCACAAGCCGTATTCACCACAAATGCCACAAGCCCCAGCGTGCGAAACGCCCACGGCAAGCCTACACTCCGAATCATGGCCTGAGCAGCAAGCGAATACACCAACCCACCCAACCCCGATCCCGCCGCCGAACACCCATTCGCCAGCGACCTACGCGTACTAAACCACTGCGGCGTAATCCCCACGGACCCCACGAACAAAAACCCAATCCCCCACCCAAAACAAATGCCCTGGGTTAAGAATAAATGCCAAATACGCGACGCGAAGCTCGCACCGATAAACGAGATTGTTTCGAGCGCTACGCCGATTAGCAGCGTGGTGCGCGTGCCGAAGCAGCGTGTGGTTAGAGTGGCGACGGGGGAAACGATGAGAGCTTGCGAGATGGAGAGGCCGCCCACGAAGGCGTATTGCAAGGCTGTTGCGCCTGGAAAGATGTTGTGAGAGAGGTAGTGTGCGAGGAAGACGCCGTAGGAGGAGTTGAGACCCCAGGTGTGGCCGTTTAGTGTGGCGATGGCGGCCACGCAGATCCAGCCGTAGCCGCCGTTGGGGGGTTCGTCTTCTCCTCTTGTCTCCAATGCTGTGGTTGTGACGCCTTCTTCTTCTGGCTTTTCCTGTACTACCCCGTTTTGCAGAGCCGTGGTAATATCGCCGTTGTTGATGTGAATTTCGACTCCCGATCCCCCTGCATCATCGTTACTCCGTCTCTTTTCCGTCATTTCTGCCCCCTTTTCCTTTTCAAATCCCCTTACTCTCTCTTTTTTTAAAAAAAAAACCCCTTTCTTTCTCGTCTTCGTTCCCGACTCGCTCTCCTCCTTGAAGCGTTTTATTTTTCCCTTACCGCCTCGGCACCCGGGAATAATCGACCCTGCAACCAAGATTCGCCGCCGTTTCGGCCCTCTTCCGAAAAAAAAAGAATCCACTCCTACTCGTCGATTATTCGTATTGCACTGGTCAATTGCTCCAGAAAGAAAAAAAGAACCCCCTCAGTGTTGCCAATTGCTAGAAGAAGAGAAAGAAGAAGGAAGTAGCTTTCATGATGACGCTACGAGAACAGAAAGAACAATCGAGTCATAGCAGCTTCCTTCAAATCCGTTTGCATAAACCTACCTGTATACAGTAAAAAAGTGGAGAAGCACCGGCCGCTTCGGTTACGTTATTAACCGGGAATAAAAAAGAACCCCTCCCATATCCGGGACTGGGCATCCGGCCGTTTGCACATGCATGTCACTCTTCCGCCCTATAGCCATGGTATTGGCTAGTGACTTTTGCTGTTGAGCTCGTATACATATTTGTGAATTTGTAACAGTAGGAAAACATGCTTGCAAGCATTCAACTAAAGAAATGTTTATATTGATTGTAGGTATTTGGGTTTATCAGGTACAAAGGAAACCAAGCAGGTGGGTGTCAACGCCCATGTTAGCAGTCTAAGCCAAAAAAAAAGATATGTCATCAGTCATTCACCGCTTTCCCTTCGACAAACGGCTATCTCACCTCGCAAAGAGGCGTGTATCGTTCCGGAAACTCCATGCTTGCTTCCAGGTCCATGTCCTCGGCTTCACTCGTATGCAAGCTCTCGTACCCGGAAGGCGATGAGACTGATTGCCATGGGTTGGGCTCAGTGATAAAGTCATCCAGCTGGTCGTAGCTGTGTTCCGATGGGGTTGCAAAGCCTTCTGAATCTGTCACAGAGGGTGAAAGCATATTTGCCCAGTCGATGTTGGGTTGTATATGCTGGCGGTCGGCAACAGGCTTCTGGTAGAAGGAACATTCTGAAGGCGTCTGGCTCGGTGCGAACGGGAAGAGTAACGCTACGTCAGATCCTACAAACTTGTTGAAGCTTTCGTCCTCATGCACTACGCCCCGCGAGACCCCAAAGTCATTGCATATCGTTTCTACCGTTTGCGCATCACAGCCGGGGAAATGTACCTTCAATGCCGAATCTTCGTACGTGATAGGTAAATCTCCTAGTGCAGCCAACCGTTGCAAGTCTTTCAAGACTGCAGCCAGTTCCTTGACAGCACGCGAGAAGTCGACAGAGAGAGTGTCCAAGAGGCCCTCAGTGTTAAGGGTCTCCTTCTCCTGAGCGAAGGTAGCAAAGCCCTTGACAGCCTTGAGGGGAGTAAGAGCAGTGACAGTAGGATTGATGTTGAAGCTGATGTAAGAACCGGGGCTAGTCTTGGGAACCTTGTTCAGAGTGCGGTTGACTTGATCTTGAAGTGCCGAGACAGTCTTGAAGCGCTTCTCGCCGTTGTGGGGATTTACGCCATCAAACTGGGCCTTTTGTCCACCGACGAGAAAAGCGCGCACAGCTTGAGAGACATTGTTGATGACCTGAGCAGGCGCAGCAGGACCATGCGAGAAGTATCGAGCGCCTCCGGTCCTGCCGGAGCCCCATCCATAACCACCCGCGGTTCGTCCCAAGGCACCACCCGTGAGGTTAGGGCGAAGGGTAGACGCAAAGGGCGCACGGCCAGCCTGTGCCATGACGATACTCCCAATACGGGACTTCGGGAACGAAGCCTTGTCATACTTCACACCCGAGTTGCGTGCAGCCGCAGTAGTGAATCGTCTAACGGCGGCGCCAATAAGGCTATGGGTAGTGTACCATCGGCCCTTGCTTTGCTTGAGGTAGGCAATTCGGTGTAGAGGATGCTTTGGAGCGTTTCGAGCGAGTATAGGTTGAAGAACTGCATCCGCAGGTCGTGCGGATTCAGGTAACTGTTTCTGTACGAGTTTCGCTGCATGTTTCCAGGCGGCCCTTGTATCGGTCAGTACGTGGTTGCCTTGCAAGATAAGAAGAAACTCACTTGAACGCTTTCGCGTTCTTAACCACCAGTCTATGCAGATGCACCGCGGCCGGTGCCATCGTGTGTTTGTGTTACCAAGAGGGGAGAGGGTGGTGAGTCCCTGAAGTGTGGGGAAGACAACGTTAATGAGGCGCAGGGCAAATGTCGCCACCGCCATTGGGGCTGATCGTCTGAAACGCCGAGCCGTCATGACGATGGTCACATGCCACCTCACTCGCTGACTTGTCTTCTTCCCAAATATTCCATGATAATCAACTATCCATGAGTATAAATATCTTTGAAGACAGTACGGGCAGCTGTCATAGTCATCCTTTAATAATTTCTCTTCTATACCAGAAAACACTCTGATGCATTTCGGCCTCATATCCAAGGATCTTGAGTGAGTCATGGGAACATGGTGCAGCTTTACGGTCGGGTACTTCAAGGGCCCGAATAGCCAGCGACAGGCAACAGCCATTGCACCCTTATGCCTTACCTGCGGAACATTAGATGCGCCCGAAGGACCTGGACTTCATATTTTTCTGCACGCGTGAGACAATTGGGCTAAAATCTTCCATTTCGTACTTTTACAAAGCGGAAGCCTACTCATCCAGGCCTCGCAAACCACCTTTTACAAACTTTGCTCTAGGGGGTGATGGGGTTTGGAAACCCACACCCGCACATAAGGAAATGAAGAGATCGGTGCCGCGATGTCGGAGGGGAGAAACACGCCTTCTGGGGCTTGTATGCGGGGCTGATGAAATGCAAGAAAAACAACCACACAGTACGCCAGCTTTCAATGCTATAGAGCCTCCGTACAAAGCCCGTAGATCCAGGAGAAGAGGGTGAACCAGATCCGTTGAAGGGTATTTCGTATCGTGCTGGGAAATAATCGTGTGAACATTAAGGGAAAGCCAAAAACTGTGTGCAAAAGGGGTCTATCGGAAAACATGTGACGGACCGCCGACCGTATGAAAACGCCAGAACATGAACTTTTTGTTAATGTATAAAGAACTCGAGAATTCGCAAGGACAGTTGGAAGCAACGAGACCACAGCTTGAGGAGCAAGCATTGAGAAACACCATCCCTTGCTCGTCCTGCATGACCCTGGCGAGGTCATCAGATACAATCAGACAGTCATGATGTCAATCGAGCCAATGCCTCAGCATCAAGTAAGTCTCTGATGCGCTTCCAACTCTCCGGATCGATGCCACCATTGCGGACGGCCAATTGTAATTGGTCGAAAGCACGACATCCGTCCTCGGACTTGATCAGCTCGACGTAGTCAGAAGCTACTCGCCACCGGATCGCTTCGTAAGGCGACAGTAAAGACTTGCTGTAAAACTTGATCAAATTCAAGATTCCGACATCCGTACCCCTGCAGGCGGCATCTTGAAGAGCCAGATAGCGGAATTCATCGTACATTGATTGGTTGAAATTCCGAATCAGGAAATGTGACCAGAATTGGTAAAGAACGTTCATATCATAAGGAGTGATGCCAAAAGAGGCTCGTGAGCGCTTGCGGAGAGCCTTTGACCGAAGATGATAATACGACTCATGCGAGGAACCAGAAGGAATGGAATACACTGGGCGGTCTTGGTCCTTGACCCAGTAAAGCCGAACTGAAGGAGAAGTCGATTGTGGTGAGCACTGTTCGACACTACTACTCTGGACATTAGCTTTAACCTCAGACACAGTTTTGTAGCGAATGGTAACGTCGAGGGCAGGGTGTTGATCTCGATGCTTTGCAGCGTTTGAGCGAATCAAAAAAATAGAGGATGCGGAAACCGCTAGCATTTGTGCAGCGGGAACGGTTGAGGCGCCGACTTACCCGTTGAGAGAGCTAGCGTCGTCGGCTTTGAGTTGACATGCGATCGACTTATTCAGTTCGCCCGGCGCGCCATTTTTACTATCGATGGATCCATTAGAAAATGTTCGTGGAAATAAAACAGGCGATGCTTGTTGCTTCTGAACTTGCTTGCGCACAATCACAGCCAAGCCGCCAAGTTGCCAATCAAAAAATGAATCGGGTTCTGCACTCACAGCCTTTGTTGAGCTCTCGACTGGCTGACCGGTCGAAATGGCGGTACCATTAGCCTCTTCCACAGGCGCACCGTTCACTACAGCTTCTGTAGGCGCTAGTCCAGCATCTTGAGCAACGGGGTGAAATCCATTCATCTGAGGGTATGCACCATCGGGCCCATAAGGAGCCATAGGAAATCCGGGTGACATTGTTTGCCACTGGGAAATGCTCGAGGGGTCAAAGCCTGCGGGGTGTGTGAATTGAGGCTGCTTGAGCTCCTTAGGGCCCTCATTCTGCGCCGAGGGATCACGCTCCGCCATGTCAAGCACCCACTGTGCCCAACCGTCTTTACGACGCAGGCGGTCCTGACCATCCTCACCAGTGCGGTATTCAATGGACTTGGACTGCTGGCAGACGGCCTTGATCAGATCAAGATCGGGTGACAAGTGCTTGATACGGTTGAAATTAGCGATGAAATCGAGAGAAACAAATCCTTGGGAGTCCATATGACGACGTAGGTACATGTCTTTGAGCAGGTTATCGACAGAAAAGTAATACTCCCTTGTATCGTGTTAGTAAAAACTGAACGAGATGATCAAGGAAGACTTACACTTGGGTAGTGAGCAATGAGAAGAGATAGGACTGATCAAACCCATATGGGCTGAACGGTGAAGCAGCACTCATCGGCTGGACCATTCCATAGGAATACATGTCATGGGATGTCTGCAAGGGAGCGACTGGATATCCATTCTGGTAAGACGGGAAGCGGTAGGGGTCAGTAGAGAGTGACTGTGACCGGTGGCTGTTGCGGCCGTACTTGCCCTGGGAGGCTGGGAAGAAGGCGTTACTCTCAGGCACAAAAGTCGTAGGTGATCTCGGACCCAAGGGAAAGCTCGTCGAAGAATGTCCGTTGGTGAAATGGTGGTTGTTTGCATAGCCGCCACGAGCTCCACGGCCTCCACGGCCGCGTTCACGCCCGCTGGAGAACGAACTAAAACGCTTCGAATGACCGTGTGGGCCGTCTTGTTGAGCGGGCGCACGACGTTCACCATCTGCAGAAGCATCGGCCTGCGTTCCAGCAGGTGCCCAGACACCATCCTTAGTGGGCGACGACGTACCGTCCTTTCTGCGCTCTCCAGCGCCATGAAAATCGCCTCGCCTGCCCTTGTGGGGCTTGTTAGGATACTGGCGGGGGTAGGCGCCATTTTGGTGTGGTGCTTGGGACGACGGCGTTGAGCCCTTTGCGTTTGCTTCAGACTCTGTAGCTCCGTTACCATGCGCCTTTACAGCGCCGTCTCCATTGGCTGTTGGAAGCTGGTTCTTCAAAGTCGGGGATGCCGCATTACCAGTGCGCTTAGTCTTGACAGAAGCGTCTTGTGCAGCAGCCTTGGTTTGTTCACCATTTGGTGCCGAGCCGTCCTTCTCAAGCTGCTCGGTACCATTGCTCAAGCCAGCAGGTCTACCACCAGTCTGCGCTGCACCGCGTCCTCCAGGTCTGCCACCTCTTCTCGCATTCGCAGCGTTAGGCAAAGGTGTGTTGAACACAACAGAGGGGGTGTATGGGATTTTCACCCATTCCTGCTTGCTAGTAGGAGTACCGTCCTTGCGTTCTTTCTCTGGCTTGTCGCCCTTCTCTTGAGCTTTCTTACGCTCCTCGTCAATAGCGGTATCTGGTGTTGGCCATGACTCCTGGTCACGGTGCGGTGGTGGGGGGAGCACACTCGACGTCGATTTTGTGTCCTTGTCAGAGAACCTGCCCTTGGCACCGTTTCGAGTCTCAGCGTCGCCCTTGAAGTCTTTTCGACCTGTAGCACCTTCGTTCCGGCTCTTATTCCGGCTCTCGCCGTTGACAGCCTTGTCATGAGGTGCTGAGTCTTTCTTCGCAGCAACTCCGTTTGGTCCTTGCGAAGCACCGTTCAGAACAGGTGAAGGAGCAGCCTTCTGCGCCTTTGACTTCATCTCATCAGCTCGAATCTTCCATGGGTTGACGGTCGGGACGGGTGCCTCATGAAGGGCCTTGGCAACTGCATTCTTGCCCTTCTTGACCTTCTCCGATGTCTTTTCAACCGGCTCAACCGATTTGTCCACAGAGGTAGAGGCTTGAGACTTGTTATCCCAAGTGGTGGACTCAGAAGCCGTGTTTGGTACTGAAGAAACATCATCATCCTTGGTCACGGTGGACGAGGACGAGGCCGAGGCGCCGAGGTCTGGTGAAGATACATTCGAGGCATCTGCAGGCTGTGAAGATTTTGGGGCAACAGAAGCGGGCTGCTCTGTGCGCGCCTCACGGGCTACTGGGGCTTGCTCGGAATGCGACTCTGCCTCGACGTCTTCAGCCCAGTTGGCTGGCGAGGCGGTAGCGTCTGGACCAGAGACGCTGCTTACGTCCTTGGCTGGAGTAGCAGAGCCGGATGCTGGCTTGCTCGTGCTCGTTGGCGTGGAAATGCCTTTTGCGGCTTGCGCATATGAAAATGTCGATGCCATTGCGAATTTTCTGTCTGTGTCTCGGCTAAAGTCGGACTGGTAAGGCGAGGAGAGCGCTCAGAATCCCTGGTGGGAGCGCTGCAGCGAGGTGATCAGCAGGTGTGGGTGCTGGTATGTCCGGAGAGGTATGTCTTGACCTCCCCGCACGCAACCTTTTTTCGCTACTACCAAGACTGGGGTTGGCGATGGATCGAAAGGGTAGCGAGTAGTAATCCTGCAACAGGCAGAAGACTATATGGAGCCGTGGGCGTTGGTCCGTAGCCGAGGCGATCACACACGCAGCGGGGAAAGTGAATGCTTCTGGGCACGACTTGAAGACTGGGGCGGTTGCTGTGCGCGCTGTGGTAACTGGCGTTAGCGGACTATTTTTTTTTCTTGGTCGAATCGTATAGTGGCAACGACGGATTGCGGGATACGAAATGTTAGTGAGCAGCGCCTTGGGCAGCAGTGCGCTGGGTTGTGTGGCGGATGGGGCGGGCGTAGGTGTGGTGGTAGGTGTGTGTGTGCAAGCGCACAGCAGGTCGGAGGGATGACTGCTTGAACCGCGAGTGGCTGGGGAGGAAGAGAGGGTGCAAGCAGCACACGAATAGCAGCTGGTCAAAGGCCAGAGCACATGACGGAGGAAAACAGCAGAAGAAAAAAACAGTGGGCGGGGTTGGCAAACGGAGTCCGGTCGCGGAAGAGGAAGGTAGCAAGCATGCGGCGGATGTGATAGTGATATGCGCAAAACTAACCTTTGGTCAAGTCTGGGACGACTGTGTTTGTGAGTCCGGGGCGGGGCGCGGACGTGAAGAATGAGGGGCAGATGGAGAGGGAGGCAGTGGTCTCGGGAGCGTGGGCGGTGGAGGTAGAAGTAGAAGTAGAAGTAGAGAATGAGGGTGGGGAGAGGCAGACGAAATAGGTAGTGGGTAGTAGGCAGGGACGCCAGGCACCACACGAGAGGGCCGGATGGCACAGGCAAGTCTGGCTCGAGGGCGACGACGAGGGAGCGGGCTGAGGCGGCGTCTGAGGGTCGTATGCGACGTTGTCAAGGCAGACCGGGCGCCGAGAGACAAAATTGACTGTCGTGTGTGCGGGCGGAGCAAGCGCAGGTGGGAGGAAGAGGGTCACTTTGAAGCGCGAATTTTTCTCTAGTCAAGTTGGTGCTCTAAAAAAGAAGCCGACAGCCAGCCCACGCTCACCCTCATGCTCACGCCCGCGCTCCCTGCGTGTTCGGCGCATCCATTCACCCTCGCCCTTGGCTTTTTTTAATCCACCTGCCAGCTAATGGCCTCACAGTCAGCGACCGTCGGTCCTGCCATCAGCCTGCACCCTCATTACGGTGCAGTGCCGTGCTGCCTGGCAATTTCGGCCACAGCAGTTTGACGCGCTCTCTGCACGCCAATGACGTCTCGCGAGCATCTCGACCCCTCCCTCGCTCGCCCGCCTTGGAGCCAGACCAAGGCGTGAACATGGGAAAAACACCTCCACAGCATGTATGCGCCGCGCATCCTCTCTCCAGCTGCCTGCCTATCCGCGCCGTCTGCCATGTAGTAGTGGTATGACTTGCTTGCTGTGCTCCTGGCGCACGTACATTGCCTGATAAGTAATTCTAGCATTGCCTGCTGCCACATGGGGCCCAATTGGCTTTGCATCTCAGGCTCTTCGTGTGCACCCATAATTAGCGGCAGCACGAGCGCCCGCCATCCGTCCATCCTGGCCCCGTACGGAAAAACGGGATTGCGGCCATTTGTGTCTGTACTAAGCCTTTGCACTATTGCCGACACCACTGCCGTCTTATTGCTTGTCTGGAATACATGGCACATATACACGCTGCCATTTCTTTCATGTCATCAGATGCTGCTTGCTTGCATCCATCCATGGTGCTTTGCGGTCACTAGTCCTCGACTACTTACTATCTATCATACACACCCCACACTGTTAGAGTACCACCCTCTCATCTCCTGACACGCGCCGCACCGGCTCTGATGACCTGATAGTGCTCATCTCACCTCATTGCCTTTTGGACGGCTGCAGCAACCCCCAAATAGCGAGTCCTTGCAACTGCACGTGCCTGTCGGCATAACCGCCTCGCCCAACACTGCGAACACCAGCTGGCTCCACCATACCTAGCCTTTGCAACTAGGCTCTCCAAATCCTCTCCCTTAAACCCGCCGGTCCTAATCACATCATGTGCTTTATAGTTCCGGCACCAAGGCTCTCCAATGAGGCATCTGCCCTGAATCTATTTTCAGCCCCTTGCCGAATGCGCCTTGGAATATATACTTAGTAGTATATATGTACTACCGTCCACCCGATAGATTGCCTGAAGGCTTCCGGCCGGAACTGCGACCGAAAAGCAACAATGGCCTCAGCCAGCATTCGCCGCATTTTCCCCACACTTACCTCCGACGACCCTTTGTTGTTTTTCTTTATCCGCCGTGCCTTGCTCCGGCCCGCTCTACTAGCCTCGGAACTTGCATAGTACCGAACACATGTACCCGAGTATTTACCACAAGTCACGTGACCAGGCCGAATGCACTGGGCCATGCATCTATACATATAACTATTTGTACGTCTTGAATCATGCACCGCCGAATCATTACTACGCACAGCTACCATACAAGTATTGCCGTACAACATCTCACTCATCAACCTTGTGTTGTGCTAAACTACGTGAATGCCAACCCGTTGTCACCGGGGTAGCCCAATTCGCTGGAACCACCTCGTCATCTTCATTCTTGCCTTGTCATCGTTGTTCGCCCACCACCATATCTCCCACTGGACATCCTTCCATTCCACCTGGAATATACTCTTCATATCCCTCAAGTCTTCCTCGGGTGACTTGTCCCTTTCAAACTCACACATCACTCGATCAACAAGGTATGCCATCGCCCAGTCAGAGATATTTAGAAGCCCATGTCTAGGCGACAGTTGCAAGAGCTGCGTCACATTCCGTAAGCGAGCCATAGGGTGAGCATCATCTTGAATCGAAGACTGTACAATCCTGGCGACGTGACGAAGGCAGACTCGCAGTAACCTCAGGGCCGTATCTTTATCACACAGGTCAGTGAGGGGCGGGGAGTCTGTGGATTGCGGGTGCCTCCATTCCTCACTTGACTCCGGCATTGTTATGGCCGGGTAAGGCGGCCGGCGGCCGAGTCGCCAGCGAACAGCGAGATCAATCAAATCAGGCGGCTGAAAGTAGGCTTGCCCTGCCGTTAGGCATATCTGAAGTAATCTGTGAATCCATGGTCAGCCAAAAATGCATCAATAGCTCCTCAGCTGGAGCTTGGTGCTCAGATTTTCCATGTCAAGAGTACCGCCTCAACACGCGCTGCTTCTAAGCGGCCGCAGAAGGTAAAAATACAAAGGAGAATATCTAATACTTACTTGCAACAATGCGCGTTGTTCCTGCGGAAATCCGACTCGAATGTAAATGGTAGCTTTGATGAATCTCTATCTGCCAAGAACTTGATGTTTCTTGGGAGCAGATGATGATACATAAAAGTAAAAACGGCGCATTCATCCAGTCTGTCAATCAGAGGTTCATCCTCAAGGTACGTAATCGCTATTTTACAGGGCTCCAAAAGATTTTTAGCGGAGTCGAAGTTCGTCAGCGCCCATCGAACTTCATTCGCAAGCCAGATGCGAACAACAGCAGCATAGAATCGAGCTCTTTGGTCGGGATTCATGCTCGTGTACGAACAAGTATGCTTATCTTTCGGGTGCCGTCTTTGTAATTGTCCCTCGTTCAACTCATCGGCACGAGTGACAAGGGTAAAAAACCCTTCAGAGAACTCCTGGTGATCTTCGGCATCGCTTACAGATAGGTAATCCTCTTCTTCAAGTTGTCTGCTCAACCAAATGTCCTCTAATATGCGGAGACCTTGGTAGCGAGCTAGGACATCACATATCGCCATATCCGACCAATTAGCTTCGTAAGCATTCAGTTGAAGAGCGTCTAGAAGGCTCGTCTCGTGGCTATTTAAAGGTGACAGTGGACGTTTGGTGGCTAGCAACCCAGTCGTTTTTCCTGAAAGATCAACAACAAAACGTGCATGGACGGCTAGCATCTTGTTCAGCTGGTAGTCGTGTCTGTGTTGAGGGGAATGATGAATGATAGAACGCATGATGCCGAGATAGACCTTTCGCTGACACGTGACACGTGCTGTTATCTTGCATGTTCGAATCAAGTGGTGGACATCGTCAATACTGCCAAGAGCGTGGTATATGGACTCCAAAACTTCATTGGGTAGGTCTGTAAGTTTGGCCATGGGAGGCACCAGTAAGTATGCGGTAGTGTTGCCAAAGAGCACGAGATTGTGCCGTTTGTAGCCTGCATTTTTCAGCAAACGTTCCGCTTTGCTATTTGGGTGTTCATAGAACGGGACGTACCTAATATGTTTGTCTTTAACGAATGTACTGCCCAGTGTAAGACGGGGTAGGGATGTGCAGCGTCAGTTGTAAGAGTAGAATGTTATCGTGGTGGGTGGAATATAGCCCTGCTATAGCTCCAGGCAACCGACTAGCGACTGCTTGTTTAGGAATTCCATACAGCTGTCACTAACAGTTCACCATGTTTTGGTAACAACTTTCAGGTGGCATCAGGCTGGACCTTCTTCATCTTGCCAGCCGCCAGCCGCCAGCCTTATGTTAGAGCGCCATTGCAGCTCAGGTGGTCGGAGCGATCGCATTGACATCGCACAGAGCAAAAGAGAATACAATATAATTAACTATAACCTAAATATGCGAGACTTGTACTCTGGATTTGGAAATAATCGAATCCAAGACGCGTCGTGGAATGGTCAGGCTGCGACTGTTCTGGTTGGCTGCGCCGCGCCTCCCGCTCCCTGATTGCTTGGCGTGCCGTTCTCTCACCTCCGTGTCGTCTCCGCAACCCGACTCAACCCCACACGTCATACTATCCACCTTGTCGCAATACATAAGATTTATCCTATCATCATGTCCGAAAACAACTCTCAGCCCCTCGATACCAACATGGAGGTGAATGATGAGCTAGACCGTACCGTCGATGAGGAGATCAAGCAAGACGCGACACAACTCGAGGCCGACGCCATGAATCTCGACGGCGCAAACGATACAGAGCCTTCCGCGATGAACGGCGCAGCAGACCCAGTCACCAGCTTTGAAGCGCGGATACCTGCCAAGAAGGATGCAACATTGCGCGAGTTCCTGGGGAAGATGGACGAGTACGCGCCCATCGTATGTTCACCCAGCCTCCAAGTAATATAACAGTGCACTGATAAGGCTGCTAGATCCCTGACGCAGTGACCAACTATTACCTCACCCGCGCCGGCCTGCCACCGCCACCTCAGACATCACAGCATCTTGCGCGCCTCTTAGCACTCGCGACCCAGAAGTTCATCGCGGACATTGCAGCCGACGCTTACCAATTTTCGCGAATCCGTTCCTCAAACACAACCAGCAACAACCCTATGGGCGGTGCTGGAGGACCGCCTGGCGCAGCTGCTCCAGGCGGAGTGCCAGGCGGGAAGGACAGCGGTGCTAAGGCTAAGGACTATAACCTCGGTATTCAGCGGCCAGGCTATGGCGGAGGCGGCCAGGGAGGCAGCCAAGGACGCACTGTACTCACCATGGAGGATCTGGGCATGGCAGTTGGCGAGTATGGCGTCAACATTAAGCGTGGCGAGTTCTACCGCTAGACACATGTCTATGCAATCTCTCGACGCCCCACCCGGTGTCCACTTTCCATTGGCATATGCGAAAGATGGGTAATGACGGACGCAATTATTTGCTATCACAACAGGCATTCTCGGCGTTGAATTGGCATCGCAGGCGCAGGGGTTTCTGATCAGAATATTTTGCCCAGCAAGGGGCTCATCGCAATTGTACAATATCAGTACATAGTGGCTTTTGCACACACCAAAATGATACCCAAACTCCCATAAGATGCACGTGCGATCCGTTCTTCATTTGTTCTTGGTCTGCTTGTACGTGAACTGCTTCCGTGTCCTAGAGTTGAATCGTCAGCTAATGCTAATCTCGTTGGCTCATTTAGAGGGACATACGGCGCAAATTCTCCCAACTTGTGTCCTACCATATCCTCGGTGATGGTGATGTCCAGGTAGCTCTTGCCATTGTGTATTTGAAACTTGAGACCGACAAAATTCGGCAGTATCGTGGCTGAGCGGGCTTGTGTCTTGATCGGCGGGACCCGTTCACCTGCTTTTTTCTGAACTATTGGGAGGCTTGGACACAGTCAGAAAGGCCTGGGAAGGGTTTCATGAGTAGGCTTACGGAACGATGTTGGGTCCTGGTGGATGATTAGCCTATTTATTCACTTCTAGATTCAGCAGCGACATGAGTAAATACCTTTCCAGACCGACCGGGCGCATAGCGCGCGTGTGGGAAACATGGCAATGTTGAGCGTTGAAAGATGTCGTCGGCGAATGTTTTCAATTGCTTCCGATGGACGCTGGAAACCCACGTGAGAGCGCGGGGGAGATTGTGGAGCTAATGGCTTGGCTGGAGCGCGACGCGAAGTGCAAGCGATTGCTGTAAGCCGTTGCCCTCGCTGGAAGAATCTACTGTGTGTCAATTGCAGCGATTGTTTGTGGCCTACTGCGTGCTTTACCAACAGTGAAAGTTCCAAGAACCCATCTTTCTAGCTACGCAGCTCGTCCAATATGCCACCACGAGCACGCGGTGTCCAGCGAGGTAGGCGACAGCAACAGGCTGCGACAACATGTCGGTGCTAACACAGTCTGCAGGTGTAGACACAATTCGTATACTCGTCGCTACAGACAGCCATGTTGGATACAACGAGCGTGATGCCGTACGAAAAGATGATAGTTGGAGGACTTTCCACGAGGTCATGTGCCTGGCCAAAGAACATGATGTGGACATGGTACTGCACGCTGGGGACCTATTTCATGAGAACAAACCGTCGCGGAAATCCATGTTCCAGGTGATGCGTTCGTTGCGCATGAACTGCCTTGGAGAAAAACCATGCGAGCTGGAGATGTTGAGCGATGCGAGCGAGAACTTCGGCGGCATGTTCGACCATGTCAATTATGAAGACGAAGACATCAATATTGCGATACCAGTCTTTGCCATTCATGGCAATCATGATGATCCTTCGGGTGAGGGTTCCTACTCTCCACTTGATCTACTGCAAGCGTCTGGATTTGTGAACTATTTTGGGCGTACACCGGAAGTGGATAACATAGCCGTTAAGCCAGTACTACTCCAAAAAGGCCGTACCAAGCTTGCGTTGTATGGCCTGAGCAATGTGCGAGATGAGCGCTTGTTTCACACTTGGCGAGAGGGCAACGTCAAGTTCTTCCAGCCCGGTACGCAAAAAGACGAATGGTTCAATCTCATGAGCGTTCATCAGAACCACCATGCGCATACGCCAACAAGCTATCTGCCCGAAAACTTCCTTCCCGAATTCATGGATCTTGTGGTATGGGGTCATGAGCATGAGTGCTTGATAGATCCGCGGTACAATCCTGAGATGGGCTTTCATGTCATGCAGCCAGGCTCGTCAGTTGCGACATCTCTGATGCCGGGCGAAGCCGTGCATAAACATGTGTGCATCCTAAGCGTCACCGGCAAGGAGTTTACCACTGAGAACATCCGCCTAAAAACAGTGCGGCCTTTTATCATGAAAGAGATTGTTCTGGCGGAAGAAAGGGAGATCAAGCAGAAGGAATTGTGGCGTGTCAGCGACAACCGTGCAAAGATTACACAATATCTAAATCAAGTCATCGAAGGCCTCATTGAGGAAGCGAAACGAGAATGGCTCGAACTTCAGACAGACCGTGAAGAAGGCGACGATCTCGATGTTCCGCTACCGCTTGTTAGACTACGCGTTGAATACACCGCACCATCGCCTGGGGAATTTCATTGCGAGAATCCACAGCGAATCTCGAATCGCTTCATGAAAAAGGTAGCGAATGTCAATGACGTAGTCCAGTTCCATCGGAAGAAGAAACCAGCAACCAGGGCCTTGAAGAACAACATCGACGAACCAGATGAACAGGTGCTGGCTGAACTATCAATCGACTCGATAAAGGTCGACAAGCTAGTCAAGGAATTCCTCACAGCGCAGACGTTGACAATTCTGCCACAAAACTCATTCGGAGATGCTGTATCACAATTCGTCGACAAGGACGACAAACACGCTATGGAGACTTTTGTCAAGGAAAGCCTCACAACTCAGTTGAAGCATCTGATGGAGACCAACGAAGTCGAAGAAGAAGAAATTTTCAAGGAAATGGCAGAGTACCGTGAACAATTAGAGGATTTGTTTGCCTCAGGACAACTGAAGAGGGTGCGGAAATCCAAGATCAAACCAAAGCCAGATGGTTGGGACAGTGATTTCGAAGGTCCTTGGATAGATCAACCTGGTGCTCTTATACGCTCAGATAACGAGGAAGAGAAGGAGGATGAAGAGGGCCTTGCCCCTATACCTACGAAGAAGGCCGCCCCGCGTGGCCGCGCAAAAGCAACCGGTACGACTCGTCAGACAGCCACAACTACAAAGAAAGCAGCACCTGCTGCTAAAGGTGGTCGGGACAAGAAGAAAGTAGTGGAAGAAGAAGAGGATGAAGAAGAGGACGACAATGATGTTATAATGCTTGATGACGACGATGACGAAGAAGACAGCGCAGAAGACCTATTCGTAGCATCGCAGAAGAAAGCTCCTGCGAAAAAGCCCGCTGCAAAGCCCACCAAAACCTCAGCACGAGCAAAGTCACCAGTTAAGAAGACACCTGCTACACGAGCTAAGGCGCCGGCCACGCAGACCAAGTTGAACTTTTCCCAAACACCAACACAGCGCAGTCAGGTAACACGACCTACGGCGTCGCGCGGAAAGCAGCCTGTGCAAGAAGCCGTAAGCATTCTTGGACTAACTGATATAATATACATGTGCTGATGAGCAATAGAGCGATGATGAAATCGAGTCTGATGACGCTTTTGAGTCGGCACCTCCTGCAAGCGCTCGTGCTACTCGCAGAAGATAGACTACTGCCCTCGGAATTCAGGTAGCATAGCAAAAGCGATGGAGGAATCGAATAAGGACATATCACTTTTCGGGAATGGTTCCATAAAAGTGGTACGTTGTGTAGGGCGCATATCATAGCGAAGGCGTTCAGGTGTTTGAAATGAGCAGACTGCATCTAGCTGGCAGATCCAGTGTGCTTAACCGTGCGAAAGTGCCATGGGGCGCTACTGAATTATAGTGACTACGTATACTCTGTTCTCTCACTGCATGCTGTTTTCGTAGTCACTACTTCCGCTCTCTCTCTTACGTGTATTGTATATCAACCGTTCTTTCCTCATCAACTGCGAAAGGTGACTGCGTTCGGGCCATCTCTACTGCCTCACAAGCCAAGCCCCCCCTCGCGAAACCCTCCTCGACCGATCCACCTCTCGTTTCTTTCCTAATTTGCATACCTCAATGGAATCGTCTATGGGTAATTGCGATAGCATGCAAGCTATAACAACTTCCTCAACCGCCTACTCTCTTCTTCACCACAACACACACAAACGTTCTTTTTGGTTCCATCTTCTTGTTCAGTCCCGTCTTCTTTCGCATTGCTGCGTCCCGGCTTTTTGGTTAGCCGTTGCTTCAATCGTTGTTCGCGTTGCCTCCACATCGATCAGCTTTGAGGTATGTCAACCCACTTCCTACTACACTGGCACACTTGTCTAGGAGCACACTCAAGCATGTAACCTTGAAACAAATTGCTAACAATGGAAGGATATTTGCATCAAACCATCTCAACCTCCTTTTCGTGTCCGGCTCATCGTCTCCATTGGTCAAACGATACCGACGGCACACTCAGGTCAGCGGCACCTCGTCGGCGATACCCATCTAGGGTAACGGATTACTCATAATGTCTCTCGCATACAAAGTGGATGAATTGCTTGCGTTGCGTGATTCGGTTTCGGAATCAGCCGTGTCGATCGAGAAGTTTCCTGATGAGGATGTTATCAGAGGTCGGTGCTGGCCATGCCCTTCTTCACCTTTCACCTTTCACCGTTCACACTGCCTACACAAAAAAATTCTGTCTGCCACAAAAGCTCAATATCCCTTGAAATTCAAGAACACCTGTACCACCACCACCTCGCCGCCGCATACCTCCTTCCGCAGTCGGACGCTGTCCTGATCTCTGTACTTGCTGTACATATAGATAAACACTGACACACTTCTCTTTAGAACACGTTCTGCGTCCATCTGCATCTGCAGCAGCAAATCTCAACAGCAGGTTGTCGAACAGAAGCCTGCGGGTTCCTCCTACGACGACTCCCGCTCCGCTCGGGTCTCAGAAGAAGCCATCGCCTACACCATCGTTGAAGCGAGGAAAAGCTGAGAAACTTCTTAAGGAGCACGGCAGTCCACCTGGTTTGCGAGTGACTGCAGGAGGCAGAATTGTTCCCAGCGACCTTCCACCACTTGGCACAGCTCGATACGGCGACACCGCGTACCGGCCGCAACAACCGTTGCGAGTCGCTCCGGGCAACGTCATGCCGATGCAAGTCCCGTCGAACGGCAATAACACTGCCCGGATTGAGGTTATTGGTGGTCAGCCTGTCATCTTCGTCGGAGATCGCATGTTTGCACTGCCGACAGTTAGCACGACCAGCTCTACACTGCCTCCTAATGGCTCTGCCGCTATGGATCCAACAATCAAGCGAGGCCCTGACCCATCTACATCAGCTGTACATGGTACCATTCCAGGCGCTTCCTTTGGCCTGCCACGTTCTGGTACTCACACTCCGTTTGCTGGCATGGACCTTGCTACGCTGAAGGCACAACAGACCATCAAGAAGCAAGAGCTCCGAACTGTCGAGCAGACTGAAGTGCTACAGTCGAGCCACCAGAGTGACGCATGGCGAGCGAGTATGATCGAGAAGAAGCGCTGCCTTATTGTCGAACTCGATGCCCTCAGGAAGCAGATATCGGCACTGGAGTCGGGTGCCATCGCAGCCCAGCCCGGTTCCTTCTCCAATGCAGTCGGCGCGTCCACAGCACCTGTCCCCTCATTTGGAGTCCAGAACCAACAGCCGTTTGCTCCTGCAATGTATCCCTTCGCCACTGGCAATCAGTATGCACCCATGACGATGTATCAGTCGCAACCGCAGCCCTATGGTGCCTTCCCCAGCTTCCCCTCTGTGGAGCCGGCAGCGTTTGTACCAAGCACGGCCAATCCACATGCGCCGCACTCTCCTCCTGGATCAGCCAACCGCCGTTCTCGTGCCATTGAGATCAAGCCCCCGCCTCCGGAGGAGGGTAAGAAGCCTTCATCTCTTAACCCGAAGAGCCCCACCTATGAGCCAGCTGCAAAATCCGGTGACACGCAAGGAACTGTACCGCCTACGCCTTCGCCAGAGAAGTCATCGCCT